GGACTAAATCGGGGTCAAAATGGTAAACAGTAGGGACCAAATCAGGGATTTTTTGAGTTGAGGGACTAAGTCGGGGGTCCGTACGATAGTTGAGGGACCAAAATGGGGGTTTAACCTAAGTTTAATTGACTACTACTGAACTTTATTCTGCATAATGGTTATCATTGAGCATTCCGTTTATGTTTAAACTGTTTATTTGAAATGCTCAAATTTTACCCACGGGCTATCCATACATTTACTTATTGAGATATTTTATCTCATGATTTTCCCTTGTCCACCATTTAAGGTAGTATGACCCGAGACACGGAAATCACGGGAAGTGACGAGTTAGAAGGTTAGCCATTTTGAGATTGATATAGATTTTAGAAATAAATCATGTTTTTTTTTTTAAAGATAGATTGTACCTTGAATTTTATGGTATTAAAACAGATTTTGCGAGAATAGAGTTCAGGATTTGAATAAGTTCCGAGCCTTGTGCGTTTGTGGGACCCGTCTCACGAGTGCACGGCGTCTGTTGCGCCTCGAATTTGGGTTCTAGGGCGTGACACCAACACTGAACATTTCCCCCCTGGTGCATTCGATTCCCAAAAAATCCTGTGTTTTGTCTTTTGCTCTGTATAAAACTGTGATTAGTGGAATCTTTCCCGCTTAAGGCACCCATCCATTTCTGTTTCTTAGTGCCAACAGTACTCTCCTCTACTGCTATAACCACTTTCTGACCTTGCTCTATAACTTTGGCTTTGTTAACTGTTGTGGAATATGTACTTACTTCAAATTTCTGAACCTCAGACAGAATATGTGGATTTAGCCCATAGAGAAATTTCAACCTCCTAGATTCCTCATCCTTTTGAGTAGCCAGAGGAGCAAACTTTAAAAGCCGGTTGAATTCCTTCTCATATTCCTTCACAGACTTGTCACCTTGGACAAGGGTATGAAATTTTTGTTGCATCTCATGTCTGTCACTTTCAGGTAGATACTCCTTAAGGAATGCTTCTGTGAAGGTACTCCCAATCAATTGGAGAAGTGTGCTTGCTTTCTTCTACCTCCCACCAATTATTTGCATCACCTTTCAACAAATATGCAGCATATGGCATCTTATTCTCCTCAGTGACACCTTGCCCCCGAAAAGTCTTCTCCATTTCCTTGATCCAATTTTCTGCCTCTAGTGGATCCTTCGAATCTCCATGGAAAGGCTTAGCAAGCTTAACAAACTCTGCTAAGCCTCCCTTTTGGATAAGCTGTGGTGTTGAAACCTTTTCCTGCTGCTCTGCAATTACCCTTGCTTGTTGCTCTGCCAAGGACTTGACTAACTCTTGTTGTTCAGCCATAGTCCTTGCCATAGTCTGCATAATTTCCATGAAATTTGGTTGACTTTGTTGTCCCAACTGTCGACTTTGTCCAACATTTGTATTATGTTGATCATGATTCCTTGTAGAAGAGTCCAATGACTCATTTTGAACGTCATCCACCTCAACCTCATCTCGATTAACAGGCTCACTCCTAGCAACTAATGGAGTTCTCCCACTAGCACGCCCACTTAGGGGTGGTCTACCCCTGCGCCTTGTTCCATGATTTCCCCCAGCCATAGCCTTTCACCAAGTCTACTTACAAAATGGACAACAAAGATTTTAACCACAAAACAATATTATACAAATATTATTTAATTAATAACATATGCAGTATGACCCATTTCTATTCCTACCCCACTCTCACAAACCATGTACTAGGCTACAAAACCAACCCTAGCCCTAGAGGTCTCAACCATGTTGCTCTGATACCAAAAATTGTCACGCCCCAACTTAGGGGTTAGGACATGACAATGCCACATACCTTTAGGAGTGATCCCAAAAGCATGTAAGGCTAAGTCAGTCTCTAAAATTCATCCCTGCAGCTTTGCATAAAATTTATTCTTCACTTTTAAGAAAATTAATAGAAGAATATCTATATGATAATAATACTCCATCATCTAAAGTCAATTCTACACCAAGAATCTGAAGTATAACTAGCACGAAATTAAAATCTCTTTATTTCAATGTCCACGAATGCTAAGCATAATTGGAAAGAACTAAATAGTCTATTTTTAAGGTGGCTCTCTATTTCCCCTGCCTCCCAGATGCTCCATGTTTAGTATCTGAAAACATTAAATAAAACAAGGTGAGCTCCACATGCCCAATAAGTAGCATACCCAACTAGTATGACCAAGCGTAATTATCTTAATTAAAAAGTGACATAAAATAAGTAATGAAATTATATTGGATGAAACAAATATAAAGAAATTCATCAGTAAAACAATTTCTCAATCCCACATGGCTGTGGCACATGAATATCAATTGGTCGTTCGATACTCTATTACGACAAAATAAATTTAAAAAAATGAACTGTTCAATGGTCTAACTCAGTTTATCGTTCGATAGTCTAACACGGTTTACCGTTCGATAATCTATTACGGCACGATAGTCTAAAATGATTCCCGATGATTCTATGAAAAACAAGTTACCTTAATTTCAAATAAATTTTCAATTCCAAAGTCTCTATATCACAAAACTATCAAATCCCCTCATCTCAAATAGTTGACAACCAACATGCTTAATCCACATTTATTTAAAGAAGAAAATAATAAATAAATATACACATAAATAAGTAAATGCATTCCAAAAGAAATACCACAAGGAAATAGTTAAAAAAAAAAATACTTAGATTTCAAATAAATTAATTTCGCAATAACAAGTGAAAGAATAATTTATTTTTCCAGCATTTCTAGAAAGGGTAATGCCACTTACCTCAGTTATTGACCTGGCACCAGTGAATGCAAAGCCAAGAATTATTTAGACCCTTTTTCCTACAAACAATTGTTCATTTCAGCCAAATTCCACACACTGTATGCCTCTAATTATTAATCAACATAATTCCAAAAATCCCTACTCAATTCGCCACCCACTAAGCAGCTTTCCCTTTTTTACAATTTTTGATATAATAAAATACTCATTAAATTTCACACATCAGCCATGAAAGCTTCCCCACTTGTCTGGCCCGCCAAAGAAGAAATGGACAACCATAATAAAAATTCAATATACCATGCTAAACTTGCAAGCCAACCTCATAAGACTACTTTAGACAAGTCCATTTCCATTAACTTGACAACCCAAATAAAACCCAAAGCCTTCTTCGACAGAACCATCCTCTCCCAAAATCTATTCCACAATTTCAACATAATTCCTAAATTAAAACCAAGAAATCACTATAAAACTAAGGAAATTTACCTTGAATGGGCTTGGCAACTATTTTCCCCCAATTTGTGCAGTCACCTTACTGTTTTTTTTTTTTTTTCGAGTGAAGAAACCCACCGCCCCCTTCCCCTGGTTTCTGCAGAATAACACGCTAATCTTCAATTTCTAGGTTAAGTTTTGCATATTTTACAAGCCACTCCTTCATCTTTACCACCATTATACACATAAGTTATCATATTTTCACCTTATTGCATACACATCCTTAAGGAATTAAATAATAATAACAATAATAAAATTCTGGGTCTTACACCAACCCTTGGAACTCCTTCTCCAGAATAACTTGGATGGGTCTTTATAGGATCTTAGAAACCCTAATTATAATAGCTATGGGACCCACATCAAAATAATTAGGACAAATATGATTTGGTTGAAAAATGGCGCAAGGGGTCAACACCCTCAACTAAGTGCGGGCACCTTCAGTGAAGCACTGATTGGAGACTGTCGAGTTTTTGGCCTTTTATCCAATTTTTGGTTAATGGCAGAATAATAGTCTTGGTCCTTGACTCCTGGATTCCACGCAAGTTGATCATCATATTTCTGATCTTTGCAATTTGCTCCTTCATCAAGAATAGAGAAAATCTTACTTGAGCCTTCAAACTTATAAATTTGATCTTTGAACCCTCATCTTTCTGGCTCTTTATATTTGAGTCTTTTTCTTCTAATTCTCTCCATTCAATTATCAAACCTTTAATCACAAAAAATTTACACAACATGAATAGAATGAACAATTATGAAATTACTTGTAGAAAAATACAACTCTTACGCCTATAATTCCACAAATGTCAATGGTTAATCACACTTTAAATATACATTTTCATGCTTTCTTCACAATCCCCAACCAGCTTATTACTAGTCTCTAGCAATTCAAGCATGAATTAAGAAAAAAAGCATGCTGATTAGCTCAAATGGATATATAGCAAGACTACCTAGGCATTTAGAAAAAGATCATAGTCGCTATCAAGATTACTTCAATTGTAACTTCCAAAAGTGTATGTGTGTGAGCTAAGCATAACCTTCATACCATAAACCACAACATATATAGCCTTGAGAATTAATCAAAGTAAAAGCCTCAACTCCATATCCTCACAGGCAAATAACTGCTTAAGGCAAAGGATTTCTCTCATGGAGTTGGAAAGCAGCAAGCCACTAAAAGAAGAGGGCAAAATTTAACAGACAATCAAACAAACAAACATTGATTAGAAGATAAACTAGTTAGCTATTCAAAATTCCACTAATCTTACTCCAAACTAATTTTAGGATTTCAATCAATCAAATATGAGAGCAATACAAGTAGAGTCTAGTGAGAAAAACTGTTCCCTCAAAAGAAAGTTTGTCTTCTAAATTGATGGAAGACTTTATTTGGTGGAAAATTTTTTCTTTTTCTTTTTTTGGTTTTTTTCTCTTTTCATTGTACTTTTTTTTAAAACTTTTTTTTTGTTCTTTTTCTCTTTTTTTTTTTT